AGTAGAGACGGGGTTTCACCATGTTGACCAGGATGGTCTCGATCTCTTGACCTCGTGATCCACCCGCCTCGGCCTCCCAAAGTGCTGGGATTACAGGCTTGAGCCACCACGCCCGGCCTCTTGTTTCTCTTTAAATCTTAATGAGTTTCACTCTGCTATTGTGTGAGATAAATCCTTTTGTGACAAAACTCTAAATAGATATGATCCTAATAGAAATTATTACAGTCTTTTAATTACAATGTCTATTTGGAATGACACTTTTCCAGAATAGCTCCAACTGAAGACTGAAAAGCAACTAAGACCAAAATGAACTACAATAAATCCGTTTCCTTTCATAAAATTGTCTTAGGGTTTACCGAGGGGTTTTACACATATTTGCTCATCTGAGCAATCAAAGGAAAAATTACATCATGCTGATTTGTTTTCAAATGGCTGGGACTTACCCTTCCTTGGTGGAATTCATAAACTGGTAGAATTCATGAACCACTGATATGACTCATCGTCGAAGTCTGAGGTCTCACGCACCCAGAACGCGCCTACCATTGTCTCAGACTTTACTCCTGATATTCAGGCTTAGAGGTAGCTCACTTCTTTCAGAGGTGCCTGAGACAAACCCATGAAAACAGACTTGAGAGGTGGTATGGACCAGTGCAAAGAACCTCGGCGTCAGGAAATAGCCCGAATTTCAAAATGAAAACCTCTTATATTTATCTTGTTGGGTTTTGATTTTTCTCCCCCAGCTTTATAGAGGAAAAATTGACCAAAAAAATTATATATATTCACGGCCAGGTGTGGTAGCTCATGCTTGTAATCCCAACACTTTGGGAGGCCAACGTGGGCGGATCACGTGAGATCAGGAGTTCGAGACCAGCCTGTCCAACATGGCAAAACCCCATCTCTACTAAAAATCCAAAAACTTAGCTGGCATGGTGGTGGGCGCCTGTAATCCCACCTACTCGAGAGGCTGAAGCAGGAGAATCGCTTGCACTCAAGAGGAAGAGGCTGCAGTGAGCCAAGATCGTGCCATTACACTCCAGCCTGGCTGACAAGAACAAAACTCTATCTCCAAAGAAACAAAAAACAAAAATTCGCCTGGCATGGTGGTGCATGCCTTTAATCCCAGCTACTCAGGAGGCTGAGGCACAAGAATCACTTGAACCCAGGAGAGAGAGGTTGCAGTGAGCCAAGATCACACCACTGCACTTCAGCCCAGGTAACAGAGATTCCATCTAAAATATATATACACACATACATATATATATATTTAAGGTTTACAACATAATGATTTGATGTATGTATATATTGTGGAATGATTACCATAATCATCTTAATGCATGCATTCATCACCTCACCAAGTTACCATTTTGTGTGTATGTGAATGTGTGTGTATGTGTGTGACAACACACACGATCTACTCAGCAAATTTCAAGTAATCAACACAGTATCGTTGCAATGAAGTATAGAACTTATTCATCTTACAACTGAAAGCTTGTACTCTGTGGCTGTCATCTCCCTATTTCTCTCACCATCCCCTTTGGCCCCTGGCAACTAACATTCTACTCTCTGCTTCTGTGAATTGATTTTTTTTTTTTTTCTTTTTCAGATTTATTTATTTTTTATTGTACTTTAGGTTCTGGGGTACATGTGCAGATCATGCAGGATTGTTGCATAGGTACACACATGGCAAGGTGGTTTGCTGCCTTTCTCCCCCCTCCCGCCCCCACCAGTCACCTGTATCTGGTATGTCTCCCGACATTATCCCTCCCCACCCCCACCCCCGTTGTCCCTCCCCTAGGCCGAACTCACTGCAGTGATGCTTCCCTCCCTGTGTCCACCACGTGTTCTAGCTGTTCAACACCCGCCTTAATTTATCTTATTCTGTGTATGTATGTGATATTTGTAAGGTTGAGAATAAAGACTAAATAAAGTTAGAGAGAGAACACTTTACATTAATCATACAGCTCCTATGTAACCTTCTTGTTTGTCAAACACACCCTGAATGGTTTTGTAAAGTATTATATTGCTGTATCCATCACTTATTAGACTCCAATGATCACTTTCTACTTATCCATTTAAATATTTCCTAACATCATCCAAAGTTTTGTTCTTGATGCATAAGTGCTTAGACATAAAACTATTAAAATATTATTGATAAAAAGATGAGGCTTGATTTTACTAAGAGCGTTTGTGCCACTAAGCTTAAGTCCCTTGAACCTTTAAAATCATACTTCAGTTTTTTTTTTTTTTTTTTTTTTGAGACGGAGCCTCGCTCCTGCTACCCAGGCTAGAGTGCAATGGCACGATCTCAGCCCACCGCAACCTCCGCCTCCTGGGTTCAGGCAATTCTGCCTCAGCCTCCTGAGCAGCTGGGACCACAGGCACGCGCCACTCATGCCCAGCCAATTTTCTGTATTTCCGGCAGAGACGGGGGGAATTGATTTTTTTAGATTCCACGTAGAAGTGAGATCACACAGCATGTGTCTTTCTGTGTCTGTCTTATTTCACCCAGCATAATGTCCTCCAGGGTGAAACTTGTTTATTTGAATCTCAGCTCTGCCCTACCTTTACTAGCTATTTAGCCAAGGGCAGTTTTCATATCTTGTAAAATCGAAACAATTCTTACTTTACAGGGTGGCAGTGAAAGTTAAATATGACAATGTATGAGATTTGTGCCCCTGTAATTACAATCTACCCCGTTTACATTATCCTAGTTATCTAGGAGCCTATAGGTATAAAAAGCAAAAACAAGAGACATATTTGTTGAATAACAATGTAGAACTGAAACTTGTGACTTAAAAACAAATCCTCAGCTGAAAATAGCATCTAGGAGAGATTTCCCGGCACTGGAAAGTGACATTACAAACAATTCTCTCAAGATATGACACTGACAGAAATCTCCCAAAAGAAAATCTCAAAAAAAGGAGTGTCTTTTATGCTTAGCCATCACTCTTTAGCCTCAACGGGTCAGAATTTTGTGCTTTAGTCCCAAAGCTATTTTCAGATAGTCTGTACTCCCACATTAACTGAAGCAGTATTCTCAATAGCCAAGATATGGAATCATTGATTCCGATAAGAGATGAATAGATAAAGAAAATGTGGTACATATACACCTCGGAATACTATTCAGCTGTAAAAAAGAATGAAATCCTGTCATTTGCGGCAACATGGATGAAACTGAAGGACATTATGTTAAGTGAAATAAACCAGGAACAGAAAGTTAAACACAGCATGTTCTTACTCTTGTGGTAAAGCTAAAAATAGTTAATCTCGGCTGGGCGCAGTGGCTCACGCCTATAATCCCAACACTTTGGGAGGCCGAGGCGCATGGATCACGAGGTCAAGAGATCGAGACCATCCTGGCCAACATGGTGAAACCCCATCTCTACTAAAAATACAAAAATTAGTTGGGCATGGTGGCGCGCGCCTGTAGTCCCAGCTACTCGGGAGGCTGAGGCAGAAGAATTGCTTGAACCCAGGAGGCAGAGGTTGTGGTGAGCCGAGATTGTGCCATTGCATTCCAGTCTGGGTAACAACAGCGAAACTCCATCTCAAAAAAATAAAAATAAAAATAGTTAATCTCATAGAAGTGAAAAGTAAAACATAGGATACCAGAGGCTGTGAAGGATCTGGGAAGAGAGAGAGAGAGGGACAGATTTGTTAAAGGTTACAAAATTACAGCTAGACAGAAGGAATGAATCCTGGTATTCTATACCACTGTAGCGTTACCATAGCTAACAATAATGTATAGTTTCAAATAGCCAAAAGGAGGATATTGAAATGTTCCCAACAGAAGAAATAATAAATGTTTGAGATAATGGACATTGCTAATTAACCTTGATCTGATCACGATACATTATATTTTCCAAAACGTTACTATGTTTGTGTTTGATCACAATTATATTAACCACATAAATATGTATAATTATTGCTTATCAATAAATACATTAATACTTAACATATATACAGGTTAGGACATTGCAGTAAAAAAAAAAAAAAAAGGCTGTAATCAGCTAAATTATAGGAAGAACATACTTAATTGTATTGACTTGTCCTAAGGTAAAGTTATGCTTTTTGGGGGCAGGGAGTTTTTCCTTCCTCTTTTACATGGATGGATATCAAGGAACTAAGAATAGATGACTTCCCCTTTTTTTACTAGTTCGTGCCCAATTAAGAAACCATTCCATTACACAAGCATTCCTTGGCCTCCCAGATGTCAATTTTCTGCTTGTAGTTTTCAGTGATGTTGGTTAGAAATATATCGATTTGTTAAAATGATTTCTGGGCTTCTGAGAAAGGAGAAATGATTCCCTTTTATAACTATTTTCATTTGCCCTGTGCATGCCTCTCTCTCTCTCTCTCTCTCTCTCTCTCTCTCTCTCTGTGTGTGTGTGTCTGTGTGTGTACTCACGTGCACATGCATAAGGGTGTGCATGTGTGTGTGACAGTAGAATGATCTTGGACATTATGACCAAATTATCATGCAAAGCCATAGCTCTGTCCCTAAATCTAATCAGACACCTTTTATCACTGAAGGTTATGTGTTCCTGAGATTGGATGTTTATGAAAAGTGTATTCAAGGCTGATCACGGTGGCTCATGCCTGTGATCTCAGCACTTGGGAGGCCAAGGCGGTGGGTCACTTGAGGTCAAGAGTCCAAGACCAGCCTGGTCGACATGGTGACACTCTGTCTCTACTAATAATATAAAAATTAGCTGGGCATGGTGGTGTGTGCTTGTAATCCCAGCTACTTGGGAGGCTGAGGCAGGAGAATCACTTGAACCTGGGAGGCGTAGGTTGCAGTGAGCCAAGATCACGCCACTGCAGTCCAGCCTAGGTGACAGAGCCAGACATTGTCTCAAAAATAATAATAAAAAAGCACATTCAGATGAGATGAAAAACCCATTTACATAACTTAAGATCGAAATAAATGCAAAATCAACAGACCATTCAGGTAAGAATTGCAGCACCTCACAGGTAGAAGGGCACGAAATGAGAGGTTGCAATAGGCTACAGACCCACAAATTATAAAGTCCCTGTTACAGACTATAAATAAGGTTCAGGACGCTCTGTCACCATGCCTGATGAGAGCATACCCATCCTGAAAATTACATGGAAAGATAAACCCCAGATTTAGATAGTTTGTAAAGGTAGTTTCCTTTGTATTATATTTTTCTGCCAGGAGAAGAATGTGTATTAGGTATACAAAGGTTTAAGAGAATAAAATCTTCAGGATTAACATTCTGTGAGGAGAGTGTACCATATCTGGTATTCTATGTGTGTTTAAGAAAGTAGAATGTATAAGAAATTTGGACCTATATGTTATTCTCTGGAGTGTTTATGAAAGTTGGGCCTAATTTGACATTAGAATTACTAAGGCAACTCCTCCTCACTCCACTTTGTCTCAGCAGACTCCAAAGCCCCTTTTCCAAGTATAAAAGTGATTTACACAGTGAGTCAGATCAGAACAGTTCAAGATCTAGTCAAAGGGACACCATGTACGTCCACACTGCAGGACCACACAAAATGGTGATTGTCTGGGCCAGGTGGCTCACACCTATAATTGCAACACTTAGAGAGGCAAAGACGAGAGGATCGCTTGAGCTCAGAAGTTTGAGACCACTCTGGGCAGAGCAAGACCCCATCTCCACAAAAAATTTTTTAGGCCAGGTACAGTGGCTCACACAGGTGGTCCCAGCTCCTCGGGAGGCTGAGGCAGGGGAATTGCTTAAACTGAGGAGGCAGAGGTTGCAGAGGTCGTGCCACTGCACTCCAGCCTGGTGACAGAGCAAGATTTCGTCTCAAAAAAAAATTTTTTTTAAGTAGCTGAGTATAGTGCCACATGCCTGTAGTCTGTCCTAGCTACTTGGGAGGCCGAGACGGGAGGATGGCTTGATCCTGGGAGGTCAAGGCTGCAGTTAGTTGTGATGATGCCACTGTACTCCAGCCTCGGTCACTGAGCTAGACCCCGTCTTAACAAAAACAACAAAACAAAACAAAATGGTGGTCACCTGAAAGGGATCCCACTTCCACTGATGCCCAAAGTGAACACGGGCCAGCTCTGGGCACCCCTCCCAGCCCTCGAATGCCCAATCAATCAGCGCTGCCCATTCACAGAAGTAACTAATATTAAGTATCTTGTTCATTTATTTACTTGCTTTACAGGAGCTCTTAGAACATTTCACATTTATCAAAACTTTCTACCTCTGTGGATTTTGTTAGGACTGAGAGCAAATCATGCTTTCCACTCACTTTCTTAAATAAAAGTGATAAAAATAAGACAAAATCTAACTCTTGCTTTCATAAATAAGCTCAAACAATAAGAAAAGGATGAGAAAATAAAAGTTTTACACTATCCCAACAGGTATCAGGGGTTTTGTTTTGTTTTTGAGACAGGGTCTTGCCCTGTCTCCCAGGCTGGAGTGCAGTGGCACGATCTGGGTTTACTGCAACCTCCACCTCCCGGGCTAAAGCAATCCGCCTACCTCAGGCTCCTCAGTAGCTGAGACTTCAGGTGCACTCTACCATGTTGGGCTAATTTTTGTATTTTTTTATAGACACCGGGTCTCACCGTGAGGTCTGGAACTCCTGAGCTCAAGCAATCTGCCGCCTTTGCCTCCCAAAGTGCTGGGATTACAGGTGTCAGCCACCATGCCTGCCAAGTTCTTTTTTTTAAACTGCTCATGCATTTTCTGGCTTCCAATTGCTCTGTAAATGCTCCGATCTTAGTGTGTTATGAACACAACAATGCCATATCAATTCTCTTAGATTGCACGGCACTAGTTGACAAGTTAACGGTGAGGTACTGGGCCCAGTGGCTCATACCTATAATCCCAGCACTTTGGGAGGCTAAGATGGGAGGATCACTTGGAGCCAGGAGTTTGAGACCAGCCTGGACAACACAGTGAGATCCCATTTCTACAATAAATTTTAAAAAATTGGTTGGGCCTGGTGGTGCATGCTTGTAGCCCCAGCTACTTGGGAAGATGAGGCAGGAGAACCCCTTGAGGCCAGGAGTTCAAGGTTGCAATGAGCTGTTATCCACCACTGCACACCAGCCTAGCTGACAGAGGGAGATCCTGTCTCAACAAAATTAAAAGGTAAATAAAAAATAAAATAAGAGTTAACAGTGAGGGAGGCTAGAGAGGCTTCTGGAACTTTAAGGTGAATATGAATCCCCTGGAAATCTTGTTAACATGCAGATTCTGACTCAGTCGGCCTGCGTTGGGGCCTGGGATTCTGCATTTCTATTAAGCTCTGAGAAGATGCAGATGTTCTTAGTCCCCTTCTCATATTGAGTAGCAAGGCTGGTCTCAGTGAGTTAGACCAAGCCAGAACTAGAGTTTAATTTTGCTCTGGAGGCAAAAATGTATAAGGCAAGATCTCACAAGAAAAGTAAGTGGGATTTTCCTTTCCTAAAAAACATTCCGGGGTGGGGGGTATGCAAGTTTTCCCCAAGTCACACAACACTGATGAATCTCTTCTATATTTGAACTACCCTCTTTTTCTTGGATCTCTGTCATTCAGTGTATTTATGGTGATTCCACCCCAGAATTCCTGAATTCCTTGAAATTTGGGTAAAAGAAAGGGGCTCTGGTGGGCGCGGTGGCTCATCCCTGTAATCCCAGCACTTTAGGAGTCTGAGGCAGGCAGATCACCTGAGCTCAGGGGTTCGATATCAGCTTGGACAACATGGTGAAACCCCTTCTCTACTAATAATACAAAAGTTAGCCAAACGAGCTCCTGTAATCCCAGCTACTTGGGAGGCTGAGGCAGAAGAATCACGAACCTGGGGGGCGGAAGTTGCAGTGAGCCAAGATCACGCCATTGCACTCCAGCCCGGAGGACAGAGCAAGACTCCATCTCAAAAAGAAAAAAAAGAGGGGAGGGTTCTCTTCCCAAGGTGGGATCCAGCAAAGTTTGGCCTGGCAGTTGTTTGTTTAAATAAACTCTTCTGATAATACACCTTTAGGGCAGGGAATTTTGAGGCTAAGATGAAAGAAAGCCCTGGCTGAGGACATAATGAACAAAGCCATTCAATTGTCACTTCAGTGCTGGTGAGTGTGGACGCAAGTGCACAGTAAGGCGTGACAGCAACATCCCTCAGGGTGAGTTATGACCCAGGCATCAAAGAAGGCCACCTCAACGCCCAGCTGCCAGGAGGAAAATAAGTCAAAGGAAAAAACAAGGGTGGAGTCCCTGTGAAGAGGCAAAACGTGCTCTCACTTTCATCAGGAGCTAGGATCAGGTGGGTGGATTACCCAGCCCTTGGCTCAAGTTCTGGAGGATTCAGATTAGAGATGTTGGATCAAAACAATGAAAGATAAGACCGTAGAGAGCCATGTTGGAAACACAGGCTAAATTCTGCTTGCTGTTGCTCTACCCAGTGTTGTGGTTACTACTGAGTGCTTCCTCTGTTTGTTTGTTCTTCTGAGTCAACCTTTGTCCTCTCTGCCTAGACACTCATTTTCCTGGTAGGACACTTTGGGTTCCAGAAAGACGACAAGATGAGCGACTGAGGCTCAGGGAGAGATAATGCCTGCCCCGTATGCAAAACCACAATGCCTGGCCACCAGCTAGAGCCCCACACTTGGAAACAGAAAGAAATCCTGAGGTTTCCAGAAACCAAACCCACTGGGACCATACAACTTCAGACAAAGCCGCTGCCTTTCTTGGGCACAGTTTACAACTCTCTAACCTGGATCACGGCGGAAGCCCCGAGGCCATGTGTACTGTAGCAGTTGGGGAGGGCGTGAGGTGGAAAAGAAAAGTTAAAAAAAAAAAAAAAAAGTTTCTATGCTTTTGAAGCCTGAGTTGAAATAAGGAGAGAGGAAGAAGCTGAGAAAAGCAGGAACTAATAGGGCAGCTGACTCACCGGGCAGAATCTCAGGTTCAGTTGCTCTCGGCATAAAATTATCTCTCTCCAGTCAGTTCCACTGTTTTCACCCATCCAGCTGATAGCCTAAAAATAGAGATTAATGTGAAACATTATCTTTTAAAAATCTTCCTCTGGGAAAGGTAATAAGGTATCAGCCATTCACACGTTGTTGTGAATTAGTTTCATTTAGTCAGTGGGGATTAGAATGGAGGAAATTTAGAAAGTAATCAGACTTTATTTGACACATGAGGAAATGATGGTCCAGAGATGGGAGCTTCAGGCTTGAGATCACACAGAAGGTAAACAGCAAACGGCTGCAACTACTGCCGATTCACATTCACCTGGCACTAATTATGACTGATATCTATTTATTTTATTTGAGACCGAGTCTTGCTCTGTCACCTAGGCTGGAGTACAGTGGCTCGATCTCGGCTCACTGCACCTCTGCCTCCCAGATTCAAAAGATTTTCTTGCCTCAGCCTCCTGAGTAGCTGGGATTACAGGCACGAGCCACTGCGCCTGGCCATGACTGACATTTAAAATAGTCATCTGTTGAGCATCCCTAGCATGCCAAGAGCAGGAGGAAGAGCTGGGGACACAATAGATGTGGCTGTCACCTCACGGAGCTTATAGTCCAGCTGGGAGACTGATAAGTGAATACAGGATCAAGGACCACTCCCAGTAAATGAGGCAACTGTGACTTCTGCTACGTTGTGAAGAAAGAAAACAAGACATAGAGATCAAGAAGGAGAACTATTTCAGATTAGGTGGCAGAAGAGGCCTCAGGGCATTTCAGCTGGGATCTGGAGGATGAGAAAGTGCCAACCTCGACAGGAGAGTGTGAATAAGTGTAAAAGTTTGAGGAAAGAAAGCTACATGTGGTCCAGTAGCTGACAAAAGGTCAAGGTGCTTTACATTGGACTTTCCAGATCTGCGTTCAAATCCTGACCCCATAGCCTCTCAGCTCTGTGGCCTCTGTACCTCCTGAGTTCTGGGATTTTTGAGGTCATAAGAGACAGTGGTTAGATACATTGTCTTCATCTAATGGTGTTTGAGATTAGAATTTATCTATTGACATTTCACTTGACTTCTGTTTTGGATGCTTATTGCTAAGTTTTCTATGCTATACAGTGACATTTTTCAGTTCTGAGGAACGGAAAAATGTCTTTTACTCTCACATTGACTTTTCGAACTCTAATACTTCGACACTGCTAACTCTGTGACTTCATTTTAAGATCTTGACACTGTTCCAATTAGATATCATATTTTTATTTCATTGAACTGTTACTTGATAGTACTAAAAAAGATACTAATCCACTTGACTCTGATTTTAATATCATCCGTTACTCTGTATTTTAATTTCTGCTGCCACTAACAAATGGCAGCCTCTGTAAATTTCTGAAACTGCTCCTTAGAGATGGAATGAAATGGATACCTTTGGAGATCATGGAAAAGCTCAAAGCAAAATTTATTTTATTGTTCTGTTGTTTTCTTGTGAGTCCCATTAGGATGGCTCCTGCTCCATTCAATCTTTCTTGTTTATTTCTTTTTTTTTTTTTTTTTTTTTTTTTTTTT